TTCAGCATGCGTAAATCCTCACGTTAACAGCTGTAACGTACGGGCATAACGTTTTAGCAACAGCTCTCATTTGTTTGGTACACGAATTTCAATCAAGGACTATCGTTCAATCGTAGACCTTTGTTTGCGCCCTAAGCCTTTAGTCCCTAGTCCACGATTGCCGGTGTTTACATACCCAGACACACACACACACACACCCAAGTACATACAGTCGTGTTTTACTATACGCCTGAGGACAACCTATTGTGTTTCCCTTTATCCCTCTAATATAACACTTTCCCATAGACTAAGCACATAACCGTACGATCGAGGACCGGTTTTAACAATAGGCACCGTCGTCCGAGGATCAAAGGCCCCTTTGTGCTCCTTTTGTTGACTGTCCTCAAGCTAATACAAGAACGCATTTGCCTGCAATCGGGGACCCCCTATTGTCCCCCTTTTGTTTGTACTTTAACATGTGAGGAAGACCTCCCACATTGTTTTGTACACGATCGTAGATTGGGGACCTCTCGGGAATAGGGGACCCTATTGTCCTCTATTGTTTGACGTCCTCTATTGAATGCAGAAGCAAACTCACACACATGTGTATGCCCCTTCGGCTTCACTTTATAATGTTTTCTATACGAGAAGCTTATTAGGTGCATCCTTGGCAATTAGGTGGAAAGACTGAATTACAAATACCAAAGTCCTGGCCACTGCTCAGATCCCATCCTGATCACCCTGTTCCAACAGCGCCCCCTCCACTAGTTAGGCCACTTTTAACTTATGGCGACAGGAGCAATATCCAAGGACATCCTCTGCTCTGCTCTGGCAAAAGAGCACAAATTCAACCAAGGTCGTCTTGAGCAATGCTTCTCCAACAGCGTGGAACTGGTGGCCTCTTCAGCTACCTGGGCATCACAGACCTGCCAACCTTTGGGATCGAAAAACTGTATTCTGAATCTCCAAAAGTTGTATTTTTCATAAAAAAAACTGTATTTTCAAAAATATGCATAGACGGGCTATACGAACAAATAAATGTGGCTGCAATGCTCCATTTTTAATACATCTTAATTAAAGTTATAAAAAAATGACCAGAGGTCTCCTTGCCAGTAGTAAACCCAATCAAACAATTTGCATGAATAAGGATATTGATCATATACCTTATTCATTAACAAACTGCTTTGAAAACTATTCAATGCAAGTCTACTTAAACATAAACTAAAGACTAGACTTCCTCATGTTTGAAATAAATAAACCTCTATTGCAGGTGAAACATTCATATGACTTCCGAATATAATCTAAGCTTATTCATGTCTTATCACGTCGCCGCCAAGTGCCAGTTTGATTCTTGAATCATAATTCACGTGCACGCTCTGAACAATGCTGAATTAAAAAAAAAATACACAGCAATCGAACAGAGTTTTATTTCAAACTTGGCCTAGGCCTCACCCGCAAAAAATTCAGGCCTACCCACAAAAAGAAATCAATTTCTTGCATTTGCTGGCTGATTTACCTAGTTCGGTATGGGCCGCCCGCTTTAATTGTTGATTTTTCTGATTTTTGAATTGGTTTCAGAACGAAGTATCAAACTTTACTATTCAAAAATGTTGACATAACGGAACACCACGTGCACTCACGTACATTGTGACTATGGTACACGAACATCAAAATGTATTCTGTGTATCGTGCATGCACTGAGAAAAAGAAAGTCTGTTGACTGCACGTTAGATCTGCCGTACGTACTCCTGCTTGTATGTGTGTGTGCAAATACAGACATTTATTTTTGCGGCAGGGGTGCCACTGCTTGAAGTATCGGCACTTCGGGAATGGTCTGGTTCTAGTTTGTGATACCATCTACATGATGTTCATCGTACAGTGGGAACAGCGAAACCAGATTCAGTTCGTGCATGCAGTACATCGTTTGCTTGGCTGCTTGCAATTTACGTTGTTTCAGCTAAGTTTATCCGGCAGAAATCTACACTCACAGCCGCTTTGAATTAGGATTTTTCCGGGCGTGTCAAATTGGTCAAAACCTGTATTTTATGGGGGAGAACGTACAGTCGCATTTTCAACAAATTCCCGTACAAAATATGGCAGAATTGTACTAGTTGGCAGGTCTGGCATCAATCAGAGGGAATGTTGCCCAAAGGCTATGAGGACATTCTCAAAATTGACAGTGCTCCATTCCCAAACAGGTCAAAAAGAGTAAAATTACATGTACCGGTCTGTTGCTAGAAAAAGAGCGGGAGGGGAGGGGGAAACTGGCTTTTTAGGATTGCTGTTTTATTTTTCAATATCTGAACTACCTTTAATATACTTCTGAAACGATGCTATCAGCCTGTGATCATAACAAGGAAAACTAGTACGGCAAAGCCGCCATAGCTCGCTGTCGAAGGCGGGAAGGGAGGCTGAAGGTAGGGTTGGGGATAGGCATTATGAAAGGAGATCAGGATTCTGGTTGATGTGCCAAGGTGTAGGGGTCAGTTTTTAAATGCCAACATAAATAGTCAACAAATGTCCTAATAAATACATGTACATGTACACATTTTTACATGGAAGTTTTCCATTGTTAGGGTATTAAAGACCCAGTTGTGGAGCCTTTTTGCAGCCCCACAGCGTCTTCTGTCCCCATACATGTATTACCATGGAAGAACTCTTGTGTAGTATCCACAAATGCGGAACATGAATGGGTATACATGTACATGCAGACGCCCCAAACCTTACCCCATCCCCGCCCCGCCCCTCCCCCAACCCACCATAACCCCCTATCCACCCCAACCCCCTATACCCACTCCATCCTCCCCCTACCCATTCCCACCCATTACCTACAAATCTCAATCCCACCCAAACTCCAATCCCTATCTCCTTCCCCTCCCCCATCTTCCCTTACCCCAACCCCCTACCACCAACAACCCCATTCTCACCCACCCATACATCCCCAGTTAATTAACAATTCTTAACTTTCAATCCTTCTTGGGGACAGGGCTTGTAGATAAGGAGCTGACACTTACAATGTAAATGACTGGGCGGGGACAACTGTTAAGTATGGTAGGGACTTGCACAATCATTTGTCAACCTCATTTGATTCATGACTGGGATTTGTAGACAACCAGAGCCAGTCTTGCCCACTTGCAGAGCGGGTCATTCCAAGCATGACGTGAAGCCAGTCCCATGCGTATAGGGAAGCACGTCTAGACTTCTAGGAGATTTTATTCAATGAAAGTAATGCATGTGCGCTTTGTTTGATACTATGGCACTACCCTGCAGAATTGTAACCACGTCATCTTTTTCCAAGTTAAGTCCAAAGTCAAATTTTAGCAAGCAAAGTCGAGTCTCAAGTAGGTTTGGGCGGTTCCAATCTTTCTGGAGCCGGTTCTGGTTCTCGAAAAAGAACCGGTTTTGAGTCAGAACCGGCTCCTGAAAATTCAATGAAAAACATAAGCTCTTGAAATTACATGTAAAGAATAACAGTTTTACCTTGTGAGGTCCGTGTTCCTGATTATCTATGCATGACATGTGCATTCCCTCCTTTTGAGTCTGTATTACATAAAACCTAAAACACTTCACCGCTTCTCCATGTAGCCCCAAGGGGTCTGGCCACGCCCCATGCACGTTTATTATCCATTGTACAGGGCCAGTATTGGGTTCAATGCTCTCGCCTTGTGGCCCACCGCAAACTCAAAAGGGCTCTGTTGAGCTGTTTGTCTCCGACTCGTGAAATATTGTTTTGACTAGCCGGCCCGAGTGAATGTCCTGGGCCGTGCCTCTGCGATTAGTTTCCTATGGAGCAGATTCTCAGCTTTGAATTTTGTGCCCAGAAAATAGGTAATTTAATCTGGAACCGATTCTTTTCGGCCCAGAACCAGTGATAGCGAGTACCCAGTTCTTGAAAATATTGGACTTGCGGATCCGGTTCCCATGTTGGAACCGGTTGGAACCGGTTAGAACCGGGGAACCACCGGAACCGCGCAAGCCTAGTCTCAAATCAATTCTTTTCCAAGTCAAGTCAAGTCTCGAGTCAATTTTCCACAAGTCAAGTCAAGTCCCAAGTCATTTTTTTTTTTCAAGTCAGGTCAAGTCTCGAGTCATTTTCTTTTTAAATATTAGATGCACATACTACTTACGGGAACCAGTTTATGTGTTCGATGATGGAGCCGGTGTAGGCAATGTACTTTTCAAACAACCTCTCTCAAACACTTTATTTGAATCTAAAGCTCTAGTCTAAAAACGCATTTTGATATAATATTTTCAAACTTGTTCCCATCATGTTGGATGTTTGAAGTACATCTGACAAAATGTCCTTCCGAACGTTTTCGTTCCACACATGATATGTTAATTCTTGTTGCTTTATGGCAGATTGGGGGTAGCTGACATTTTCCAGTCATTTAAACCCCAGTTGCATTTAGCACGCTTACCAGTAAACCACTCAATGTGTACGTGTAACTATTATGGTCTCTATGGAATGACCACTCTATAACAACGGATGGCGCTCAGACTACGCACGGCACAAACTTCACCTCGCATGAGGTTGAGTATGATACGTTGTCCATAACACACGCACATCGATAGTCATGTACATGACATATGGAAGGCTAAGGATTCTCAGCTATCGTGTGTGGTTGCTAATTCATTATGTATTATCTGCATTCGTTTCAACCAACTACACTAGTGCGCACGAACACCCAGAGGTTTGTGGGTTTTTTTAACTTTAAGAATTATGTTAATGTCAGCAAGTCAAATTTATTTGAGTCAAGTCAAGTCTCAAGTCATTTTTTCCCAAGTCAAGTCAAGTCTTGAGTCAAAAAAATAGCAACTCGAGTCCAACTCGAGTCCGGATCAGCGACTCAAGTCAACAACACTGCTACCCAGGAAACACCAACATGAGATTCCTGGACTATCAGCATGCAACAAAAGTCATTTTTTATTCGTTTCACCGCACACCAGTCCAGACTACTCTTTCCCACTTAACTGTACATTGTATACATGCAACATGTGATGAACACTATAAAAGCCCATACCTTCACGTACTCATGATGCTGTTGCTCTAACGTCTGTAGATTTTTGGACACATATGCTGTAAAAACAAAAAATATAAAAACAAATAACATCACTATTATTATTGTAAAACTATTCTAGTGACCTTGACCTTTGACCTGTCAGCCCGAGAGCAACAGGCTTCTTAAGGGTGCATACCTGCAAATAAACTCCCATAGACACTAGTGCTAAATGCCCATACTTCAAAATTCTTTGAAAAATACTCAAAACTCTCACAGGTATTCAAGCTGCACAGAAAAATGATAATCAACATGTCATCTTTCGTTTTCTTTTCAATTTTTGGTGGGTTGACCACTGACTTTTCGAGATATTTTCACCCAAAGAAGACGACCCCTATTTTCCCATAAGCGGAAAAGTAGCCATCTTGAAAAACGATCCCTCCACAACATGGCAAAATAGCGCCACTTTCGAGCCCAATAGCATCCAAAATGCTCAGAATTGGAAGCCCCAAGTCCGGGCCAGAGGTTCATTACCATATCTTTTCAATTCCCCAATTTTACGGCGCTCAGAACTCTCTAATATAGAATATTTTGAGGGTATAACTTTTATTCATGAGCTTGGCGGATCGATTTACCGGTGTGCACCCTTTAATAGCAGGCAACTTTTAGATTTTAACACAAAACCACATTCAGGACAAGCAGAATATCACCAAAGTCAATATTTTGAAGAAAAAAATGAAAGAAAAATATTATCCGAGGTCGATATGAAGCCCGAAAATAGTGGGTTTTTTTGCCCCTGCTAAGCTGTAGAGCGCCCCCAGTGACAATAAATTGAGTTTCAGCTACTTTTCATCTCAAAATGCCCCCCCCCCCCCTTTTCAACTAGCAATTGTTGTAATCGGGTGATAGCCTACTGCTCCCTTACGATTTGGGAGAATCCGTTACGGAAAAAACCCTTGTTGATACCTTTAAAACACTTTTTCCCCCTCCCCGTAGGTTCCGCCCACTGAAAAGACCACTGCCGGGGCACAGCGCATGCGCGAAACGGCCATCTTTGTTATTCTTTATAGGGTGCATACCTGCAAATAAACTCCCATAGACACTAGTGCTAAATGCCCATACTTCAAAATTCTTTGAAAAATACTCAAAACTCTCACAGGTATTCAAGCTGCACAGAAAAATGATAATCAACATGTCATCTTTCGTTTTCTTTTCAATTTTTGGTGGGTTGACCACTGACTTTTCGAGATATTTTCACCCAAAGACGACGACCCCTATTTTCCCATAAGCGGAAAAGTAGCCATCTTGAAAAACGATCCCTCCACAACATGGCAAAATAGCGCCACTTTCGAGCCCAATAGCATCCAAAATGCTCAGAATTGGAAGCCCCAAGTCCGGGCCAGAGGTTCATTACCATATCTTTTCAATTCCCCAATTTTACGGCGCTCAGAACTCTCTAATATAGAATATTTTGAGGGTATAACTTTTATTCATGAGCTTGGCGGATCGATTTACCGGTGTGCACCCTTTAATAGCAGGCAACTTTTAGATTTTAACACAAAACCACATTCAGGACAAGCAGAATATCACCAAAGTCAATATTTTGAAGAAAAAAATGAAAGAAAAATATTATCCGAGGTCGATATGAAGCCCGAAAATAGTGGGTTTTTTTGCCCCTGCTAAGCTGTAGAGCGCCCCCAGTGACAATAAATTGAGTTTCAGCTACTTTTCATCTCAAAATGCCCCCCCCCCCTTTTCAACTAGCAATTGTTGTAATCGGGTGATAGCCTACTGCTCCCTTACGATTTGGGAGAATCCGTTACGGAAAAAACCCTTGTTGATACCTTTAAAACACTTTTTCCCCCTCCCCGTAGGTTCCGCCCACTGAAAAGACCACTGCCGGGGCACAGCGCATGCGCGAAACGGCCATCTTTGTTATTCTTTATAGGGTGCATACCTGCAAATAAACTCCCATAGACACTAGTGCTAAATGCCCATACTTCAAAATTCTTTGAAAAATACTCAAAACTCTCACAGGTATTCAAGCTGCACAGAAAAATGATAATCAACATGTCATCTTTCGTTTTCTTTTCAATTTTTGGTGGGTTGACCATTGACTTTTCGAGATATTTTCACCCAAAGAAGACGACCCCTATTTTCCCATAAGCGGAAAAGTAGCCATCTTGAAAAACGATCCCTCCACAACATGGCAAAATAGCGCCACTTTCGAGCCCAATAGCATCCAAAATGCTCAGAATTGGAAGCCCCAAGTCCGGGCCAGAGGTTCATTACCATATCTTTTCAATTCCCCAATTTTACGGCGCTCAGAACTCTCTAATATAGAATATTTTGAGGGTATAACTTTTATTCATGAGCTTGGCGGATCGATTTACCGGTGTGCACCCTTTAAACTATCGAGAACAACCCATAAACCAAATTTTAAATTCGTCAGTAAAGTATTTCTCAAGTTATCGCATTGACAAGATTTCTATTGTTTTATCTAGTGATCATCGACCTTGGCCTTTGACCTGTCAGCCCCAAAAGTAATAGGCTTTAATAAGACTAACAAGAACAACCCACAAACCAAATTTCAAGTTCCTACAATGTAAGCAAAGTATTTCTAAAGTAATCGGTGGGTGACCTTGACCTTTGACCTGTCAGCCCCAAAAGCAATACCGGTAGGCTTCTTAAGACTATCAAAAACAGCAATATTTCTCTCTTTGTTGATATTTGCAAGAGATACTTTCAAATTTGGCAAAAATCGAAGCTCATCACCTCCAAAATTGCAGATTCTTGGCCAATCCATTTTGCAACAGGCTGGTTGAGTGCAAACATTACCGTTGTGATTTAGAATTCACGAGGCGAGGCGCACGTCGTGCATATATAGTAGTTAACATACCGTACATTACCCAGAATACCGGGCAATGTATGCCAGATTCACCGCTAGGTACCAGACCCCATTTTTAAAGTTCAAAGGACAATGGGGTCATGGAACCAGACTACCGCTTGGCATTTCACTCACCAACTCAATTTGCCGCCGACCTTTATTCCATTATACAGCAAACGTTAAACACACATTCATAAATACCTAAGACAGTTTATCCATTCCTATTTGTCAAGAGCCGGTCATGTAGCCGGTCTTAAATGGATGATAAAGACATGGCTGGCTGGTCTTAAAACACTTTTCCAGTGTCACATGAAATTTGGACTCCTAAAAATCTAATGCCTCTTACCGTTTTATTGGTTGAACGTTCACAATCATCACATAGGCAAGCGCAATACTACCAGTGAGTCAGAATTTTATAGTCCTACATTCACAACGCAATGGTCCAGCTGCATTTTGCGTGACATCCCGCAGTACGCACGACGTGTGCGCCAATCTCCATACATCTTACTCGCGAGCTGGACACTCCATTAGTTATTAGGGGTGTTTCAAAAACATAAAGTGAATTTGTTAAACAAATTCAGGTTTTTTTTACCAAAACGTTTTGATTTTTTTTTTTAACCAAAAAGGTATTTATGATTTTGGCTCGGGTAAATGTCAGCACCCAGACTCCAAGTGGTCTTAAACAGAGTGATTCAAACCTCCGAAACAGACATTTATTCCCTTAGTAAAAGCACAAACGGGAAATTATTTTTGATACTGTCCATATCATTCCTCAATATCAAAATTTTTGATATTTTTGTCGATATTATTCCTCAACATCGAAATTTTGATTAAAACAAACGATATTGGCAATATCGATATCAAAACAATATTGAATAATCAAGTAATATCAATAGTGGTCGCACAATTATTCAACACTTGTTGTTTCTCTTCATTTACACAATAATAGTGATTGTGCCGCAGGACATCTACATAATCACTAATGTTATTGTACAATGATGACAAAAGTTGCATAATCGTAAACTAACATTGAAAAACTGTGCAATGAAAATGAAATTTAGTGCTCACAGTTTTGTTTTCTGCCATTGTTGTTGATAGTTGGTCCCCTCTGCACTATGATATGAAAATTGCTATTGATAACCAGCTACAAATTGTTGTGCAACCACCTGCGGTTGGCTGGTTCCAAATCGACTAGCGTAGTCAAACATTATCTACTAGTCAGAGTTTGGGCAAACTTAAGTCGGACTTTGGTTAACCATTGGTCAACAATAGTTCTTGCGCGAAGCCACGGTAGCGATCAGGCTTAAGCCAGGCGTGCTTTCTAGTGCAGTCACGTGGCCACCCCTATGAGCCAGCGATTGGACAGCTGGTGTGCTAGCTGCATTTGGGCCAGCATTAGTGATCAGGCTAGCTTGAGATCCAGGATTTGTTGCGGTTAAGAGGCTGCAGTAAAATCCCCCCCCCCCCCCCCGAAGTGTGGTGGGAGTCTACGAGTGATACTTACCTGTAGAGCCACTACATTTGCATATTACCCTTACCAGCAGGTTCAATTTGCTAAGAGTTTATACAACAGCGCCCTCTATAATGCTACCCACACTGCCTTGCACCACAAGCGCCATGTTGGCTTCCTCTTTTCTCGTGCTCTACAGGATTAAGCTCTTGTTATCGAACTAGTGGGGAGGGGGGAGGGATGCTCTACAAGTAAGTATTGCTCGTAGACTCCCACCATACTTCTGGGGGGGGGGGAGTTTACTTCACACACTTACCTATAGAGCCACTACATTTTATAATTATTATTCTGGTTTATTCATATGAAAACACGAGGTAGGCAGCCACAAAAGAGTCGCTGATATAACCACGTTTACAGTTTACAGGAATTAAAAATTTTTAAATAGCAGTTAAAAGGAGTAGAAGCATAAAATTACAACAAAGTATAGGATCATGTATATACAGCAAAAAACAGCACAATATTAAAAAAATAATTTCAAAATTGAAGACAGATCATTCAGGGAAGTTGGTCTAATAAGAAGTACTCACTTGCACCTACATTGTAAACAATTAAGAATTAAAAAAGTTCAGCTAAGACAGGAATTGTAGACTTCATATATCTATCAGTTTTGCACTTGGGTACAACTAGCGTAGACGTGGAACTGTCTCTGAGTATTTTGATAAGAGGGGGGAGCATACATGTAT